TTTAAATATAAGGACATCAATATATGTCGTTTAATAATTTCTTATAATAAGTTGGCACTATCATATAATGATTTAAATCCCCCATTTTAATTCTTATTTTGTGATTTGAATAGTAATTCTTATATCCAGTTCCTCAGACCACGTCATCTACTGCCTCTACCATACTGTGAGTTTCAGATTTTGTTTTTAAAAATTATTATAGATTTATCTAATGTATAATTTGTAAATAAACTATTTATGTCAAAACTTTTCAAAACATCTGAACGAATGAACAATTTTAATACAATGTAAATTACTAATGCTCATTCAAATTAGACAGTCGTTTAATTTATATTCTAATTTAATTTATATTGGAATCAAACTGCCAAGGTAAGAGTTGACAGCCAGTACACCGAAAATATCAAAATACAGAGAGGAGTCCGCCAGGGTTGCGTGCTGTCCCCACTACTTTTCAATGTCTACAGTGAAGCGGTATTTCAAGAAGCGCTCTCAGACTCAATTGAAGGTATATCTATCAATGGAGAAGTATTGAATAACTTACGTTTTGCAGACGATACAGTAATAATTACGGATAACAACAATGATTTACAGAACGTAATGCAACGCCTTAATAAACGCTGTCATGAGTACGGACTGAAGATAAATTTAAAGAAAACTAAATGCATGATCATGACTAAATCTGCACATGCAAATATCCAATTGACTATTGAAGATACTGCAATTGAGAGTGTTAATAACTATAAATACTTAGGAACATGGATAACATCAGATGTAGACCAAACCAAAGAAATTAAGACACGTATTGAAATAGCACGTACATCATTTATTAAACTTAAAAAGTTTCTTTGTTGTCGGGATATAAGGTTAGAACTACGCCTGAGAATGCTTCGATGTTACGTGTTCTCTACTCTTCTTTATGGTCTGGAAGCTTGGACACTAAAACAAGTTCATCTGAATAAGTTGGCCGCCTTTGAATTTTGGTGTTACAGAAGAATCCTACGAATATCATGGATTCAAAGAATGTCAAACATGGAAGTAACTAGAAGGATAGGAAATGAGGCGGAAATAATATTAACTATTAAAAGACGAAAACTTGAGTACTTGGGACATGTAATGAGAGGGCAAAAATACGCATTATTACAACTCATTATGCAGGGCAAAATCCGAGGAAAGCGAAATGTGGGAAGACGAAGAATATCCTGGCTTAAGAACTTAAGGGAATGGTTTGAATGCAGTAGTGCAGAACTTTTTAGAGCGGCAGTCAACAGAGTCCGCATAGCCATGATGATTTCCAACCTTCGATAGAAGATAGAACTTAAAGAAGAAGATTCAAATTAGCTTACTGTATGGTATAGCTGATCTGACCTAACAAAAAAATGTTTTGCTTTTTACTATTACTCAAACTAATTCAAACGGTTCTTCGGTCCTCTTCAGTCTTCTAGTTAGCTTAGTAGTATTAACACCCTGGATTGCCTCATAAATTGTGGGGGTATTCCACATAAGTATTTAGTTCTTCCTTTTTTTCTTGACGTAATATCTGCATTGGATATGTTTAATTACAACTGATATTTATTGTATTTTTTTAGTAAAATTAACGTGAATAGATTTAGCTTCTTTTATCCTCATTTTTAACGTTTTAGTCTAAGAATCGATTTGTTGAACCTCTATTTCGATTTTGTTGGTCACCTCTTCACTAGAGTTTCTACTGTTTGCACAGCTGTATCATAAGCAAAGGTGGCAATACACTGCCTTTTGGATCACCTTCTCTAATTTCTCGTAAGTCTGAAAAACTATATCCCTGCTTTATTCTAGAGTATGGTTTAGTTATACAAGATTGCAAAAGTTCTGAATTCTATTTGGGCATAAAAGTTTATAATTTATGTAATAAACCCTTATGCCAGAAATACTTTATGGAAGGCCTGTGTAGTACCAAGGAATACAGTTGAACAGGATTTTCTTTTCTCTAGCGACCTTTCGATAATATTTGTGATTCTGTGGCAAACCAAATAATTGGTTTAATTATTTTGAGAAGTTTGGCAAACAGCTTCGGTATTATATGAAGCACAAATATTGGAAATGATATAGCACAGGAAAGGTTTTACTAGTTTAGGAATAATAGTAACTATGGCTACTTTCATTATCCTTGGTAAATATTTTAATCTGAATTTAGCATTAATTACGCGACAATTTTCACTATTAACAAAGCCATCAAGGTGAATATGTTCTTCATCGCTTACTATGATTTTGCTCAAATGATATTCAATAATCCGTTCAACGAACTCTCTTTTGCTTCTTCTTCTTCTTCAGTGCCCTGTCCGTTGTGAACGTTGGCTATTTACATGGCAATTCTGATCTTGTTTGCAGCGCTTCTGAACAGTTCGACCGATGTGAGCCCGAACCACTTCCGCAAATTTTGGAGCCACGAGTATCTTCTCCTGCCTGGCCCTCGCTCACTGTCTATTTTCCTCTGGACAATCAATTGCAGTAGACAGTACTTATCGTGTCTCAATATGTGGCCTAGATATATGTGGCCCTTTGCTGGGCATGGTCATTAGGTTTCAGTTTTTGTGTCAATTGAACTTTGTAAGCATGGAGGGGCAGATCTTCAGTGCACGACACCGAATTGATGTTCCTGGACTTTCACCAACAATCTCACGCACTGTTTCGGTATTTACAATTGACCGGCTTTTTTTTGGACGCCAGTGTGTTGCATCACCAATTTATCCAGTCTGCCTGAATTTTTTAAATACTCACTTTAGAGTTGACGAAGTTAAATCAATGTTCCAATCATATTTTGTACGAAATTTTCGAACACTGTTCTCGAAACTTTAATTATTTTTAAAATATTGTTCAGCAGTAAAAACGCATCGTTCTCTTGTATAACACTCCATTTTACAGTTTACTGCACAAATATGGGCAAGTTTAAATCTTGCGTGAATTTGGGGACACTCTTTATATTAGAAAAATCAATGGATTAATTGCAAACTAGTTTAGATTGCACATTGGATAGATTCGAACATAGTTATAAGGATCGAATCGTTTTATAATGCCCCTTTGTTCGCTTGTTCTTGATCGACGTTGATAAATACAATAAAACGATGAAGTTGTGGAGTAAAAATGTTGGTTTTATTAACAGCTACTACTAATTACACTATATGATGTTGGTTAGGTAACTATCTATAATAGACTGAGCTCACATGAGCTCAAATCCCTAATTTATAATCTCACAAATAATGTATACCTCAGCACAGAGGTTATTGCTTCTATCATACTAACAAACTTTGAACTATGATCTTACAATATAATTTAATCTAGGCCGTAATTGCAACACTTAGGAAGTTTAATTGACAAATATATTATTCGGCAATTTATTAAGTTGTAGGTAAATTAATTAATTATTAAAATATTATACGATATGTTTTCACAATGTTTTAATTATACACGGTGAAACTATAAAATATTAATAAGTTAAGAATAATGTAAGAAAACAAATTAAGGGATTAATTTGTGATTGAATACACATGAAATTTAGTAGCTATAGCAAGAAGATTTAAAACAAGTTTTATTATGAGCAATCTCTGATGGAATTTCTTTCGTAAAAGTTTCGTTGTAAACGTTTTGTTTATTGCATCTCTATTTAAACAATGTTTAAATTTACGTAAATTAATTTTTACTGTTAAAACTTTCGGAGGATGGTACCTATTGATAATTATGTCAACAAACCGGTGAGGCTATACAGGAAATAATAAGCCCTTGAAATAAATACTTTAAATTTTTTAGTTCTTTCATTCATTAAATATAATAAAGAAGTTGTTGACATTACAAGAGAAATAAAAAAAGTAGCATAAACAATGTCCCGGGGGATTATGTTAAAAACATCAAATCCCATCATTGTCGTGTACCCGGGGAAAAAAGAACTCTTAATGCAGATGAATCGCTTCGTAACATAACTCAAATGCGATACGTGATAAATTTCGAAATGACTGTATTAACAACAGAAATCGACGACTGAATATTCAGTTGACGTAACAGACATTGGATTTTATACTTATGATCGTTCGCCGTTTAAGGACAGTTATGTAAACTAAAGGACAAGAAACAGGGTGTCGTGTTGCTGTTGTGACAAAATAATTAACTGCCTATATGGAAAAGTACAGTGGTTTAATAAATAACGAAACTGATTGGATCGTGCTTATAATAATCAATGTGTTCTTGAGATTGTTTATTATATCGAAATTTGACACTTTTTCTAAATTATGGTACAATTATGAACATGCAAGAAACTACAAATACTTGGAGACAGCATTGCTTGAAACTTTATGCCTACCATGATGGTATTATTTAACAGCGATATCTTGGTAAATTAGAATTCCATTTTTGTTCCATTAATACGTCGAATTATATGATTTATTACTAGACCCGATCCACTAGCGTATTCAAATAGCATGATCTCAAATCCATGTTGGAGTTTAAACTACTACGTTAATACTTTTTACGTCGATACTTATCACCTGGTTAAAGAAGCGGGTACATATAGGGACAGTCCAATGGAGTCCAACGGACAGCAGTTGTTTCCATGACAGATTTGGTAGGTCGGATGCTATTACTAACGAGGAATCATAATGAGCAATCATGCTATTACTAAACAATCTCAACGAGGTTGTTCAGTTTTCAGATGAAAAAACTCCGAAACCCAGCGATAAGATTATCTAGGTTTCTGGAGCTTTTGATCTCTTCCACGTGGGTCATTTGGACTTCTTGGAAAAAACCAAGGAGCAGGGCGATTACCTAATCGTCGAATTTTATTCAGATCAAGTCATCAACAGATATAAGGGTACCAATTATCCAATAATGAACCTACACGAAAGGGTACTTAGTGTCCTGACGTGCAACTATGTTTCCGAAGTGCTAATTGGTGCACTTCACCTTATACTGTTACAAAGGATCTAGTGGACCATTTTAAAGTTGACGTAGAGATACACGGAGATACGCTTGTTATGATGGACGTGGATGGGAGGGATCAATACGAATATCCTAAAATGGTTAGTAAATTCGTAAGTGTAAAGTCCGGCAACGACATGAATACTGAGAGATGCGTGGAAAGCATAATCAGAAATAGATTTCAGTTCGAAGACAGAAACACGAAGAAAGAATTAAAGGAAATGGAAATACTTCAAAAAATGAAGGAGCTGGAGTTAAGGAGGAGATAAAGTTGGTCATTCAGCTAGTATTGAAAGTTCTTTTATGTTCTGCTATACGTTTGATAAAAGTTCCACCAGTTTGACCGATATGTAAGTTTTTTGGCGATCGCCACATTTAAATTTGTATACACCGCTGTGTAATGTAATTTTCAATACAATCAATTGTGGTTTAAACCCATATAAATACAATATTTAACTTAGACATTCCACAAGAAAACAATTTAAGAAGCTTTTTCTAAAATTACTAGACTAGACACCAGACTTGATTGACTCTTTTCATACGGTAAAAATAAAATAACGTTAACATGAAGAAAAGTTCATACAAGTCACTGTCTTTTGCGTAATTATAATTTTTTACAACAGCTGACTACGTTTGTCTGGTCATCATTTCAAAACCGATCGTAAATCTGCCAGAACTATCGTGTTTTTAAATTCACTTTGTAATTAAATATCTTCTGTCGATAATTGACTTTGCGTCGAGGTGGAAGAGTTCTTAAAACAGTAGCCAATTATAGTCATCGGAGTGGCAGCCTTAAAATTATCTCAAGAAAACAATAATCACCACCTATTACGAGATATAAACTGCAGAAAATATGTGATTAATCAGCTCTTCTTCTTCACATTTTGACAGATATAGTTAGTCGTTCATTGTTCTATTCGCGGATAAATCTTCCGCGGCCCCTACTTATCTGCATTCGTCGTTAAAGTTTTATTTCTTCTGTACCAATTCCTTAATATTATCTTTTCCTCTATTTATTACATCGAATAATTATTTCCATGTATTTCTTTGTATTCTTGTCAAAATTCTGCATTTGCTGTTTCTAGTTTAAAATTGTATCTTTTATTTTCCCAATTAATGTACAATAAACGTCATTTACAGTGAAGTGTGCGAAATGAAGTATTTTCGACTCAAGTTACAGGTGAACCGATCTGGAAGTATATCCAGACATACTTATGTCCACCGCGGTTTCATTGTCATAATTTCCTTGACCAATACCGCTATATTAACTATATTATGTCCTCTTAAAATCTGTGCATTTAACTTCATTGTAATTGGCGTTTGCTATATCTGTCTATTAATACAAGTACATGTAGCTATAGCAGACGAAGAAGAGAATGAGGAAATAGAATTTAATGCAGAAATAACGGACACCACAAAAAGCCTCAAGAAACAACACATCAAAATTATAATAGGCGACTTGAATGCAAAAATGGGCGCAAAGAAAAAGTAGCCTGATACCTATCACTGGAGGATACGGACTAGGCACACGTAATGACAGGAAGAAATTTACCAAGAAGAAGAATATGTGATATCAAACCTGGTTTAAAAGGCCCTATATGCTAATCTATACATGGAAATTACCTCAAGACAATAATATAACGATTGCAAGGAATCAACTTGATTTCATTGACTTGATCAATTGATCAACTTGATCAATTTTACTTTGATTTACAGGCTTAAATCAATTATCCAGAGTTGACAAACCTACCCAGGCATGGAAGTAGTTACTGCTTTTATATATTTTTTGTTTTCTTCTTGTTTTTCCATTGTTACCCAGGGAATTGAAAGTCATACACTATCTTATTTCTTTACCAGATCTGTATAAATTCATGTATTCTTTGCCAGAATACATGAGTTGAAAGGTTGTGGGCCAATCTTTTTTGAATAACCTGCTTTAGAGAAAATATGATCTGTACAGAGTCTGCCAGCACGAAAGCCATTTTATTCTCCTACATCTGTCATCTCTTTTTTAATTTTATTTTTTATTACTTTTTCATAGTCTTGAGAGTGCTTTTATGACACTTGCCATCAGTGCATTTGTTTCAACATTTTCGTTATCCCCTTTTTGTAGATGTTGTAAATAGTAGAGTACTTTTGTCCACTCTGAAAGTATGTCCTGTATAGAATAAAGTGAACACACTGTAAACACAGCCCAGTAACTTGTGGGCTGTGTTTTAGCAATTGGTTTGGTATACTTTGTGATCCGCGTGCTTTTCGTTTTTGTTTACTATTATTTTATTGTCTTCTTCATATTCATATTCGTGACTTGTGGTCTTGATTCAGTCAGAAGTTGTTAGTAATGTTCGATCCAAGATCTTTCTTCTATTAAATCTATTCTACTCGCTTTTTTCTGTTTGTTATTAGGTTATTTATCGTTTTTGATCTTGCATATATGTTCGTCTATTATCTGGGTAATTGGTTTGCAGCCGCTTTTGATTTTCTTTTTACTTGTTATGTACTGCAGTTGCGTCCAACACAATGGAATATCCTTTTTGTTTCTTTGCCATGCCGAGTGCTTCATAAGTTGCTTCATTTATTTTATTTTTTATCTTTTGGTAGGTATTTTGGGCTCAGGATTAGATCAGGTTTGTTAATTTTTTTAATCAAATATAGGCAGATGTCGAGCACAATTTTTATTAAATTTTGCCCAATTACTTTCGCTCCTACAGCATCTTGAGGAACATTTCGTCAAAATTAGACAATACAACACTTTGGCGAATGTCATAAACATTAACTAATATATTTACAAAACTTGAGGCAAAGGACAAACAGTTTGTCCTTTGTCGTTTGCCCTTTGTCTCGTGTTGTCACTTAAATGCTACATGTTTGGCAGTCCTTCTGTGTAAATGTGTAAATGTTTGGTCAGACATTGGAATATTATGGACACAACAAATAACGAATTGAACAGTATTAAACACCATAAATAAAGAGTTAGTTTTTGTAACAACATTTAAGGAAAGAAAGTCATATAATGATAATAACAAATATAATCTGCTACGAATAATTGAAGAGAAAATGGAAGGCCGAAGAGGAATAGGCAGAAGAACAATGTCATGGCTTCGTAATATCAGAGCTTGGTCGAGTATAAACATTCAACAATTACTAAAAGCGGCACTAAAAAGAGAAGATTTTAATGTAGTGATTACAAACCTCTAGTAATAGAGTGGACGAGTAGAAGATATCTTTCTATGGTTTGAAAATCTTATACTCAGTATGTCACTTGTATCTGTGTCACTTGTCGATATCCTTGTTTATATCTTTAGTTTTTTAGATATGATTAAGATTAACCCTTAAAAAAATTAATAAATCTTTTCGAAATATAATTCACGAAATATAAATGTTGATAATTGCCTAAAAGACAGGCTTTGTGTGCAAGACTATTAGCCATCTAATTGTTGAAATAAATATAACTTCATCTGAACTTCATCGGATTGTTTCGTTTTTGTGGCCAAGCTCGGAACAAAGGATAACAATGGCCTTTTTGAGAGAGCGAGGTGGTTTTTGTTAACATTCCGTACCATGTATTATTCATAGTGAATTACAGAGGCGGAGACACCAACCCTTTGAACGGAAACTTAAAATATAATATTTGAAATATATTTGAAACAACAAAATTGACAGGAAAATACATAAAAACCAGTAAGTATATAAAATAGAATAGAATTTAACAGTGACATTTAAATTTTTTTGGTTAATCTAACCATCTAAAATATTTTATTAAATAAGATTTTGAATTAGTTGAAATTTAATATTTATTAAAAAGAAATATATATGTGACAACGAAATAAAGGACTCTACTGACGATGAAAGTTGCTATAATTAGTGGATTTCTGAAATTATAGTCATATCAGTATCAAATGACATTAAATTGTTCATTAAATAGTCTCTATTGGGAGCACGGCAAAAAATATGCAATGAAGACAATAAATAATTATTATAACTCGGCTCTGATTTGGTCACAAAAAGTTAACACATGATGGTTTAGTTGAAAAGTTAGAAAAGTCGCGATATGGAACTTGCAAATACAATGTTTACAATTAAACGTGTTAATAATGTAACGTAAATTGAGCCTGGATGGATAGAAGGATGCCCAGAAGTTAGATATTACGGTGGGTAATAAAAAATTAATCCAAGAGAAAGTTTAGTCTTGGAATTTAAGTTGCGCGAAGCATTCCAGGCCTAGATACGAATATTATCCAAAAAGGACTCAGGAAGGACATAACAGCGAGCTTTGGGATGTGGGTCTACAGATCGCCAATTCGGAACAGAGGATACTGAAGTCAGAAAGAGACTAAAAACGCGAATCGTATTAACTGAAAGAAAATAGACAAAAATTAAACCAAATTAAAGGGAAGAAGGGAGCCCCCTTATCTGTTCTTCGAGGGACAAGGAAAACTCTTAAAACCAAAATGCATACTTAGCCATAAAAACAAGAAACAATCACACTTATCATATATAGTCGTTCAACAGTCTCGCTGGAATTCATTTATATTTTGTCCAAAAGAAAAGAAGATTGTTAAAGATATCAAAAATACTATGTTGTGACATACAAGCTGAATTTATTATTAGCTAAATCATAAATATTAATTTACATCTCAAAAGCGGAAATATCTATTTCAGATTGATACCTTTTTACACGTTTATAAAAAGTTCATTAGTAATAAATAAACAGGTGTTTTCCCCCTGTATAGATCACCGTCATTGAAATATTTAGCATACTTATTAAATCTGCTGTTGCCGAATACACAAAAAAGTTAAAAACTTACAGTGAGTTCTGAGGTGGTTTAGCTATACTCACTGCAATTAAGGATAACCCATTCTGCACTAACTTAATCTTAACTTTTCGTTTCATTTTTACTTGTTTGGTCACTACCTGTTTTGATTTACCTATTTTATTGACTGCATACTATCATCAAATAATTATACTGTCAAATGTACGCTTGATCTCTAAAAATGCTCAAACATCGCCTGTATCAGCGAAGTGATTCCACGAATATACGACTGTTTTGGATTATTGCGACAACGAATATTTTACTGTACAAGTAGAACTATGAAAGTAAATTGGTCTTATCATTATTCCAATAATCACATCTAAACTAAAATTATTTCAGTTAATAGATGTTCAGATACACGCAAAATTTATTGTGAAATTTAATCCGAAAATAACAAAAATTTTTACGCAAACGCTCCTACAAATTAATACAATGACGTCTATGAAGTCAAATGT